AATTTTAATTTAAATTTGATAAAAAAATACTTATAAAAGTATAAAAAAATTATTTGAAATTCTGTTTGACCATTTTATAGCAGCATGAGATTCATATTTTCTTAATTTACAGTACAATTTATTAATCATTTATTTTAAAATATATAAGATATAGTAAAAAATCAATTTATTAATATACTAAAGCATTATACAAATGCGCATTGAAAATCTAATATAATTTATAACTAAAATTTTAATTTATTTTGTTTTATTCAAATTTGTCCAGGAGACACACCAAAGGTATTAAGCAAGAGAGATGTGAATAGTTGAAAATGAATAACCTTCATTCAAAAATTGACCCCTTATTTATAGATACTAGGGTGTATAGATTGAAGATTACATTCATGTCATCTAATCATTAACTTTAGGAGAGTTATTTTAGTACATTATACATGTGCCAGATGTATGCGGTGGAGGAGATTTTCCTGGGTGATGGACCATTGCCAATTGGTGCGCCTAAGGTCAATCATTCCACCTCATGACGATCAGTCAGCCTTAGGCCGATCAGTTCACCTCAAACCGATTGGTCCACCTTAGATCAATCAGTTAGATTGTAGGCCTTTCTGGGAAGCAGGAATCAAAGGGTGGATCAATCTATCTTATGTTCGATTGAACGATATTATTTGTTGTGGTCTTGGTGGATAATAATCGGTTAGTTGCATCCTTCCATCTATAATTACCGTGATTGGCCGTTGGATTCCTTCGAGCTTCGTGTTGACATATTTTTGTATACAAATTTAAATAAAATATGATTTAAAATTAATAAAAAATAAAATATTTTTTATAATATCAACTCAAAACAATTGAAAACTAATTAAAATTTTAAAAAATTCATTTAAAGCTCATGAGCAAATTCATTAGAGAGATGATGTTGACTTAAAATTTGATATGAAACATAACCAAAATATATATTAATTTAAATAAAATCATATTAAAAATTAATTTCAAATTAAAATACTTTTTATATTATTAACATAAAAATATTTAAATCCACTCAAATTTTTTTAAAAAATATAATATTTTTATTTAATACAAACAAATATTGGGAGGAAGTAAAAGTAAATTTAAATAAATAAATAAAATAAAATAAAATAAAAATGCAAAAAATGTTGAGCTAACCGAGTTGTTTGTAAATTGAAATTTAGGTATTTGAGATGTAAATAAATGGGAATGGAGTGGTGCGTATGTAAGTGCCCCCATTGTACCATTTCAGTATCCGTGTATGCACTCTTCACCGCCTTTTAGTCCCAAAAATATGGAAAAATATAGGATTCTCCTACGTAGAGCTACGTTTGGATTGAAATATTCCGCTGTGTTACTAGAATATTTCATCTGCATTATTTGTAAAAATAATGTGTTATTCGAGTATTATATAGTGTTATTCGATTATTTTGCAGTGTTATTGAAATATTTCCCTATGTTACTTGATTTGAAGTTGTGTTATTCGACATATTCCCCGTGTTATTTCAATTTTTAATATGTTATTGGAGTAACACAATGTCAAATCAAGTAATACGAGGGAATATTCTCATAACACTTTAGCCCTAAATCAAATAACGCGACGGAATATTCCAATAATACCGCAAAATAATCGAATAACACCACATAATACTTGAATAACACATCATTTTTACAAATAACAATCATTTTTACAAATAATTACAAATAACACAGATAGAATATTCTTGTAGCACAACCGAATATTTTAATCCAAACGTAACTCTACGTGAGAAGCACTGATGTAATATTTTTTTTCCGGAAAATATAAACGAATACTGCTTTTAGAGAAAGGAGCACAGGCGATTTGTGGACAATAATTTAATTGTGTTTAATGATTTTTCAATATATATTAACAATTAATTTTAGATTTTAAATAAATTAATTTAATTAAGTCACATAAGTTATAATTTACCTGCTGTGTAAATAAATACTGCCGTATATGGGTGTAAATGCCCCTATCAATCAAATTTACTCAATTCAAGTGAATTTTTTTGTTCACGCATAGTTTTAGATAGAGTGTGAACGAGACGAGCTGGAGCGAGCACATGAACGACTCGTTAACATATATGATTGCTAGAATTATATTGTGTAAAAAATTTGACTAATCACACATTTGTACGATGTTAATTGTAGGAACTAGAGCTGAGGGGGCAATATCTAGTGTGTTAGATTTTGTTGACGGTAATCCTCATATAGACAAATATGCAAGTAACGAATATAAAATAAAAGTACAGTTAAAATAAATACTTATAGAATATTTGAAAAAGTTATTGATGCTTGTATTAATATATATCAGATTACTTATAAATATACATTTAGATTGCTTATAAAATAAAATAAAAAACAAGCATATCAAAAGATTTAATAGTAGACCCGCATACATATTGAATTTTTTTCTTTGAATTCCTATAATTTAAAAGTGTGATTACTCATGAGTTATCATTCAATAACTCATTACGATGTTTTAATATTAATTTTTAGGTTTAAAACATTTGAACAAGATGAATAGAAAATAAGTAATGCATACCAGAGGTGAGAACCAGAAAAGTACAAATTGTTGCTTATTATTATTATTTTTTGTTTATTTAGTGGCTCTTTTATGTATTATTTGAATATTAAATTATTAATAATAGAAATAGAATAGGAGAGTTACACTTTTCATCGTCTGACGGTCCGTTCCCATCTTGATTAATTCCAAGCCACGGGCGGGGTCATGACAAGAATAACATCCTCGGCGAGGAACTGCATGATTTTGAAATGGCTACCCATCATGTCATGACAATGACTATGCAGGTTCAGAGTTCCAATACCGATAACCAAGCCATTGATCTTGTTGAGGTTGATCATCACGAGCTTGTTCAGGCTCAAGATGGCCTTACAGTTGATCAAGGGGATCAAAGTAAGGATGAGACTATTGCTCTTTTGCATAATCAGATAGCGCTTCTTGTTGTTCAGACAGTGGCATTGCAAGGTGGGAGGGTAGGGTCCGATGTAGTTTCTCACCCCTGCACAAGGTGAGGCGCGTCTAGCCGCTCTAATTGCACCTTCTCCACCTACTAGGCATGTTCATGCTACTTCTTCTAATGTTGCTCAATATTCTTGAGCGTTGCTCAATGTGAACATATCACTTTTTATTCGCACTTGCAGGCCTTAGTGGACGCCAAGGTTAAGGCTGCCTTAGCAACTCAGGAGGGAGAGGTTATTATGAGGAAGGGCAGACCCTATCCCAAGGTGTATGAGTATATTCCTCACTCTCTAGGATTTGTTCCCCCTTGCTTTAAGAGATATAATGGGGAAGGCAACCCCCGACAGTATATTGCTATTTTTTAGCATTATGTTGCAATATTGGCAACAACGACGTGTTATTCCTACACCTTTTTGTGACCAGGTTGTCTGATCATGCTTTTGAATGGTATGTTGATCGACCTAATGACACTTTCAGGACAATCTCGAGTTGGAAGATGATTTCATTAAGCGTTTTGTTGGTAAACACTATGAGTGATCTGGTGCTAAACCATCACAAGCCAAAAGAATTCCTGCTAGATTTTGTTACTAGATGACGAAACTTGAGCATGAAGTGCGAGCTGAAGTGCGAGCCTCTCCTTTAGGAGCAGCATGCCGTTGCACTTCTCATGGGTAAAATTAAATGCTCTATCTATAGTTTGACAAGTTCAGAAAGATTACGGTGGACATTAGATACCAACAGATCAATGCAGACCATACAGTGTTCTTTCGACAACATAAATGTCACACCACTATATTTGTTGTGTATGTTGATGACATCATTGTTATTAATGATGATGAGACAGAGATTGACCAACTAAAGGTAAGATTGGGCAAGAAATTTATGGTGAAAGATCTTGGATAACTCAGATATTTTCATGGGATTAAGTGGCCCGTGGACCTGAGGGGATGATCTTGACTTAGAGAAAGTATGTATTAGATATCCTCATAGAAATAGACATGCTGGGGTACAAACCTGCAGTCTCTCCAATTGACCCGAAGGCCAAGCTTAGTGCAGATGCAGGAGAACAATTTGATCATGAGAGGTACCAGAGATTGCTGGGTTGTCTAATTTATATTTCACACTCGACTCGACATCACTTTTGCAGTGAACGTGATAAGTTGCTACATGTATGAACCAAGAAATGATCATATGGATATAATGTATCATATTTTGAGGTTGTTGAAGAGTGCACCACAGAAGGGTTTGGTCTTCAGAAAGAATGGGCATGTAAACATTGAGGGATTTTATAATACTAACTGGACGAGTTGTGCAGATGAAAGAATATCTACCTCAAGTTACTGCATGTTCGTAGGGGGCAACTTGGTCTCTTGGAAGAGCAAGAAACGGTTTGTAGTTGCGACGCGGGTCATAGCCTTAAGAGTTGCCAAGATGATGCGACTCAGATCCTTGTTGGTTGAGCTCAAGGTGGACCAAGGAACTCACAAGTTGTGGTGCGACAAGAAGTCATCAATCAACATCGCCAACAATCCAATGCAACACGATAGAACCAAACATGTGGAGATTGATAGATTCTTTATCAAAAAGATGCTAAGTCTTGTAACCACTGGAGAGCAAGTGACTGATTGCCTCACGAAAGGACTAAGTTTATTAGATTCATCTATGTTATGTGACAAGGTGGGTTTAGTAGATATTATTTGTCCGTCTTGAGGGTGAGTATTGAAAATTGGATCCTCTGGCATTTTATTTTGAACATTTCAAATTTTGAAACAACCACTGAGTACAACTTATACCAATCCGAATGTAACTTTAAAGGTGTTACAAGTTACAACGGAACGGGCCCAACCGCCGGAAAATTCCGGGCACGACTGATCGTGAAATCGTTATGGAAATGGGGTCCACTCCACCGCCCCGCTTTAACAATATTCCCTCCGCCGAAAGAAAAATATCTTCGATTCAAAGTGAAGCGCAAAAATGAATTTGATACGTTAAAATGTCGTATAAAAAGCGGGTAGCAGCTTCCTCGGCTCCCAAGAAAGGGAAAGCAATTGCGACCCAGGCGGGAAAAGCTAAAAGAGAGCACGCGTACTCCACAGTTCGAAAATTCTCTACGATTTCTTTCACTTTGGATCCATCGAAAGATAAATACCAACTTCACATGATTATCTTTTACGAAATCGATCGACATTGCGTCAGGAAGAGATGGGGGAGTTGAAATGGTGAGCAAATTTCCCCTCTGGATCCGTTTGTTTTGCTTTTCGTGTTGTTCTGGCTGCCTCTTTTTCTCGAGTTTCTTTGGTTTCATTGGATCCGATTGATTACACGAAGGATTTTCATTGGGTGATAACTCGTTTTTAAATGCGATTTTTAGAAGTGGTTATGGCTTGAAGCTTCTGTTAAAAAGTAATCTCTGGAACTTTTTGTTTGATGTTTTTTATTTTTTTGTTTGTTAATAGGTTTCTGTTAGGAAATCAAGCGGCAATGGTGACCAAATGGATATTGGATTTTGTTTAATTTATTTTTGTTTTGGCTCAGGCTTTCACGAGCGACGAAGTTGTGACTTCGAGTGCTGAAATTGTATATATATCCTTCTTTCTGGTAAATCGATACTCGATCATCTAGTGGAGGCGAACCCAGTAGATTCTTAATTTTTTAGATTATTTCTTCGCAGCAAGCAACAGATGCCAAGCCAGCGAAAGGTTTCTTCCTTGCCAAGGAAAAATATGGCAGGTATGGCAATGCATTCTTTGTATTTTTAGTTTCGTGGAGCGATCTTGCTAAGGATTTTATAAATGCGTTTCATAAGCGATTTCATCTCAATAGTTTTTTATGGTGTAGGCAATGAAGTAGTGGCTGATCTAGATGAAAAAAGGGATAGAACTTTTGATTTGGAGGTTTCGGAAGAGGAAAGGCGGAGAACAAGAATGGGTTCCCTCAAGAAGAAGGCTCTGAGCGCATCCAACAAATTTACACACTCTCTTAAAAAGAAAGGGAAGAAAGCTAACTACAGGACTTCTTCGGTTTCGATAGAGGATATAAGGGATGCGCAGGAGGAGAGCACAGTACATGCTTTTCGGCTTGAGCTTCTTGAAAGGGGTTTGCTGCCTGATAGACACGATGATTATCATACTTTGCTCAGGTTTTTTCTTTCTTCTACTAATTAATACCACTGATCCAGGATCATCTATAGTCCACAATTTTACTAATAAATTTTCATCTAACCAGTGAGATCTCTTAATAAAGAAATACTGTCATTTCGCAAACTAGGACTTGATTGTCGGATTAATTAATTATGTAAATCAAGCTCAATTAACTATTGATGTGTGCCAGAAAATTTGCGGCAGTAGAGTAATGGATTATCGTCTTAGCGTTGCACTAGAATTCAACACACACTGATGAAAGAATAAAAGTAAGCAAGAGGAGACACCTTAACTTTTTACATAGAAAACACAAACCACAGGACCTAGCTTAGTTGAAATAATTTATTATGAATGATGAGTACACATGCCCAATCTTCCCCTAAATTAGGGAAGATAAGATTACAAATTTGTATAACTATAGTATGACTGCAGTTCTTAGTGACAACAAACTGCAAGAGTCATTGTGGGAGAAGTAGTCCGTTGTGAGTATGGTAGATGGTGCTCCAGAAGCGTTGATTGACCAGAGAAATTATAGTAAGCAATTGCGGGAACTATGAATCATGTAGACTGTAGTTGACGAGTATTAATGACGTCCGTAGGCCGCGGGGGGCGGAGTCGGGAGCTGTATGAGCTGATGACCACGTAAGTCGTTGGGGCGAATATTGATGACGTACATATGCCGCCGGGGCTGAAGTCGGGAACTATATAAGCTGATGACTGTGTAGGTCGTTGTTGGCATATAGACCGTAGTGGTGAGCAATGATGACGTTCATAGACCGTTGGGATCGGAGTCGGGAGCTGCATGAGTTGATGACCACGTTGGTCGTAGTTGCACATGAACCGTAGTGGTGAGCTCTTGCCCGCAGACGTCAGAGGGTTACTAGAATTTTCAAGTTATGACTTTCACCTATGACATCTGATCGACGGTGGTTGATGACGATTGACGGTGTTCGACGACGGTTTGCGAACGACAATCGATGATGGTCGCCAGCGATCAGCAATGGTCGACGGCGGTCGACGATGTTTGACAACGGTCGACGGTGGTGCTGAATTTCAGCACCTTCTCAAAGCTCAAGTCCCCACTCTCATGTGAGGGGTAGGGCTCTATTTTATAGTATTTTGAGTGTAATTAATGCAGGAATATGAATATTTTAAACGGATGATCCGAAGAGCTTCCTTCGATCATGCGGCGTTTAATGGACATTTGAGTGTTTTAATTATGTCAAAATTAAGTGATATTGGGCTCATTGGATTCTTTTTGTCGAGCCGCTCGATTCAAGTATAAACTTGCCATATTTGACAACCGTTTGACCTTCAAAATGTGTCTGGAAATCATCTAGGTGTGGTTTAATGACTTGATATGAGCTTCATTTGACTCGGATTGAGCTAATTTTCATATCATTATGTCCATCTCATCAAGCCAGTCAGTTTGAGTATAAGTTTGTTGACGGGGCTCTGGATGGCTTTTATCAAGATTTGAATGTTTCATGCTTAAAATATCCTCTTGAGATTCGTGTCATGCCTCGAGATTCGTGCTGGATGATGAAAATTTGTTGGTGGCATATCAACTATTATCACCCAATAGAACTTTCCTATGATGGATTGCAACCAAGATGATAAATCTTGAGGGCGTGTACATACATACAACATAATTCGTCGATATTTAAATATCTATTACCTATACTTTCATATATAGACACGCACACACAATCTACATATTAAAATATAGTAGCATGCATATTTCGTAAATTTCAAGATGACCTAGTCATTCGTCTAATGATATCAGAGATTAACCAAACAACAATAAGAAAATCAAATATTATTACTGAAAGAAAATAAGAAATTACAATGAAATGCATGGAAATGAGAAACAGAAATAAACAAGACACATAAGCTCAAGTTGGGGTCCGATCCCGGATGATGGTGGTCGGCTAGATGCATTGGGAAGGGTGGTAAGTGACTGAAATTGTTGGAGGGTGGTGGTTGCAGCAAGCAGGGGCTTCTGGAGGGTTGTTTTAGATGTAGAAGCGATTGTAGAAGTGAGAAACAGAAATAGACAAGACACATAAATTCAAGTTGGGGTCTGATCCCAGGATGATGGTGGTCGGCTAGATGGATTGGGAAGGATAGTAAGTGATTGAAATGGTTGGAGGGTGGTGGTTGCAGCAAGTAGGGGCTTTTGGAGGGCTGTTTTGGATGTAGAAGCGATTGTAGGGCGGCCGGGAGAGTCTGGAGAGTAGCATGTTGGCTTTTCCAGGTGACAACAACGAGGGGAAAGGGGATTGAGGCAAGGGGCAGCAGGTGGGGACTATAGGGACATCACGAAAGGAAGCAGTTCAAGCAGCAACAAGTCAGAATGTTGGATGGAACAATAGGAACAACAGATGGGATGCAATTTAGGGCGGCGACAACAAAGAAATGAGGTAGGAAATGATGCAGAAGGTTTAGAAAAGGTAGGGTCCACAACTCCTTGTTGTCTTGGATGTTGGCATAAGCAGAAAAGCATATGGCGCGGATGGTGGCATAAGAAGAAAAGCATTTGAGGTTGCTGGGCTATAGAAAACTATGGGAAGGAACAACCAGAACAATAGTTCTGTGTGGTTGCAACTAGGAGAAAGGCCTGCCATCGAAGTGAGAGGGACGTGGAAATGCTGAAGAAGGATAAATCATCATCTCGGGAGCAAGATACAACTAAAGCACCACTCAAAACTTAAATACATCCCTCAAAGATAGAAACAAAAACTTCGACGTTGTCTTGAACAAACTCACACAAATCCTAACTCTAAACACTTGTGAAATTGAAGGACTTAGTGTTTTATTATATTAATTAATGAATTTAATTTATATGTTTATTATTAAATGTCAAAAAATAGGTTTAATAAAATCAGGATTGAAACTATAAAGTTTTGGATTTGGGAAATTGAAGTCAGTGTTTGTGCAAAAGGAAGATAAGGTGAAGAAATATAAGGGTTTGTGATTTTATGTTTTACATATATAAATTATTTTAATTAAAAGTGTTATTAATGAAGGAAGGAGGCGAGAAATGATGTGGAAGGTTTGGAAAAGGTAGGGACAAACTCCTTGTTGTCCCTTATTGTCACTGTAAGCATAAAAGCATATGGTGCGGCTAGGTGATAGAAAACTATGGGAAGGAACGGCTAGGACAACAGTTCTGGGTGGTTGCAACAAGGAGAAAGGCAAGCCAGCAAAACGAGAGGGACGTGGAAGGGTTGGAGAAGGATAAAACACCACCTCAGGAGTAAGATACAACTGAAGCATCACTCAACACTTGGATACAACTCTTAAAGGGAGAAACAGTGATGCCGGCTATTGTCTCCAGTAAATTCACATAAAACCTAACCCAATACTCACACAAAAGCAAATATATAATAATAAAATAATTAGAAGTAGCTCAGGAGGACTGACCGACTTCTTAGAATATAGAAAATCTGGAGTAGGTAAGGCGTGTAGGGGCAAAGTTCAGTGCGACTTCAAGTAAGAGGGGTGTGCTGCTTGCGGGGAAAGCTTGCGAGAAAATCCCCGCAGAATGGACACAACACCAACTATGACACACGAAGGAAGAAAGATGGTGAAGGGAGGCCTTTGCTTGTGGGAAGACCAAACCATGGCCTATCGTTTTCTTGTGGGCTCGAACATAAGAAGAGGAGAAAAGGGCCATCGTACGGCTTGAGTATGGAAGAAGAAGCTTTGTGTTTGCATGTGGAGTAAGATGAAATGAGCATTTATAAGAATAGTTAGTGTTTTATCATATTAATTAGTGAATTTAATTTATATGTTTATTTATTAAATGTTAAACAATTGGTTTAATTAAATTAGGATTGAAATTATAAAGTTTCAAATTTTGGAGATCAAAGTTAGTGTTTTATCATATTAATTAGTGAATTTAATTTATATGTTTATTTATTAAATGTTAAACAATTGATTTAATTAAATTAGGATTGAAATTATTAAGTTTCAAATTTGGGAGATCAAAGTTAGTGTTTGTGCAAAGAAGGAAGAAAAGATGAAGAAATATAAAGGTTTATGGTTTTATGCTTTACATATATAAATTATTTTAATTAAGAGTGTTATTAATTTAATAATAAAATTCCTTAAATAAATATTGTGATTAAATTTGATGAGCTATTAAATTAAAAAACAAAAGAGGATCAAACTAATCCACTAAATAAGTTTTAGCAATGTATATTAGGGTTATTTAAATTAAACTTTTTATAAAATTGAAATTGTGTATAAACTTATTTTGGAGTAACGTTAATTGAAGTTAGGGAATATAGAAGAGAGAATAATAGAATTTGAAAGGATCATTTCTTAAGGTGAAATCAAGTTGAGAACTATACTTTTAAATTTTAGTAGTATTTATTTTTTTTTTAAGTCTGATACTTTTAGTTAATTGTTTAGATAGATTTTATACTACAATACTAAAATTAAAATAATTTATATGTTCTTTAAGTTTATTTGCTCATATTGAATTGTGTGTTACTAATATCTTTATATATCCATCTATTTTATAATTCAATGTTTTATGCTATTTACTGGATATAAAGATAAGAATGAGATTGACTATTTTGATTGCTTGCATATGCATGCTTGGTTGTCATAGAGTTTACCACTTTATGGTACTAGTGGATTTCTAAGGTGCATGTGCACATAATTAAAAACTTATATTAATATTGATGTGTCTTAATTTATATATTTTTAGACGGTACTCTTATGACAGTTATGTAAATATAAAATTGTATGGATATATTATTGATATAGTAAAAAACATTGAATGTTATGAACTATCATATATGATCATATTTAAAAAAGTAAAATGGTAAATACTTTTATAGTGATTTATAGTATTTCTAACTAGCGTATATATTATTTTCTTTTCGTTATGTTACTATAGTTTATGAGTATGGGTATTTTTTGGTTTGCTAGCTCATTTTGTTTTAAATTAATATTTTGACAGTAAAATTGTAAAGTAAAAAATAGT